GTCTTTCTGGCGAGCGCACGCACCCTATAGCAAAAACCTCTTCAAAAAAATTTTTTTTAATCAAATATTTTTATTATAAATATTTAATAAAAACTTACACAGGCTATTATAAACCTAATATCAATCATTAAGGACAATAAACCTCCAAAATTAATTCTGGAAGACAAAGTTGATTTATACAAATCAGAGTGCCAATAAATGCAATCTCTCATCTTACAATAAACTAATTCGCTACTCAAATATATTCCCAAAAAAACTCCCAAACACAGTTGACTACAAACATGGCACTGTTCTCTTAGAGAATCATTGCTGACTGGTCTTCCCCTACGCGGCTTCATGAAACTATAGAAGTCTGAAGCCACGTGTGATTCCTAGTCACCCACTTAGCCATCACTGGCAACAACGAGGGCCATGACCCAAAAATCTATCCCAAGTACATGCTGATTTAACTTCCTTGCATTTGTTTTCTACAAGTAAGACAAGTACAAAAGAGAAAAGAATCTACAGAAGTGCTTCTATGTTTAACATTCAGATGTCAGAAACAAAAGAGTAGGACTTTTTTTTTAAATTATTTCACTTGATTTATTCATTCTTTTTTTTTAATATGACCAGAGAGAGAAACAGAGAGACAGGGAGAAACTGAGAAAGCAAGTCACTAGGTCAGGAACTCAAACTGTGGTAGGCCATGTGGGAGTGCCCAGCACCTTAACCACCAAGCCACCTGCTGGTCCCCAGTGGAGGACTTTTTTATACCTAACAAACTATAAAGGCTTTAAAAGAAAACACTGACCTAGGGGCTGGCAGGTGGTACGGTGGTTAAGGGCACCTTTACTCCCACATGGCTGATCGTGATTTGAGTCCTGGACCTGGAAGCTTGCTGTCTCACTTTCTCTCTCTCTCTCTTTTTTCTCTCTCTCTATCCCTCTCTCATCAAATTGAAAAATAAATAAGTAAACAGATAAAGTTAAATAAAATAATTCTTTAAAAAAAAAAAAAAAGGAAAAGAAAAGAAAAAGAAAACACCGGGCCAGTAGGTGGCCTGGTGACTAAGGTACTGGATTCCCACATGGTCAACAGTGGATCAAGTCCCAGACCCAACAACTTGAAAATCACAATAAACAAACAAACAAATAAATAAATGTTAAAGAACTTTTTAAAAAAAACACCAATACCTCACATTACTATAAACAAACAAACAAACAAAACCCTAAATTTAACATCACTATTAAAAAGTTCTTAATTCAAATAACAAAGGAGGAAGGGGTATATGTGCAGTACTTTTGGACAAACAGCAAACATCTTTAATATTCAAATAGCTGTGGCCAATGAACAAAGAGATAAGTAATCAAACAGAAAATGCATTAAGACATTTATGGGGGGGCCAGCAGGAGTCATGGTGGTTAAGGGCTCTGGACTCCCACATGGCTGACCACAGTTAGAGATACAGACCTGGTGGCTTAAACTCACGCAGGTCGCGTGTGCATGCGTGCCCAAGATCCCAAGAGAAGAATGGAGGAGAAGGGATTGTGGCATGGCCATCCCCTCTAGGGGGTGGTTTCTTGTTTTCTGTCTCTGTCTTTCTGGCAAGCACACATGTCATGAGACAGGAATGAAGAAGGGATTACAGCAGGGTCATAACCCATTGCAGGGTGGAAGGGGTTCCCTTTTTCATGCTCCGCTCTCAACTTAAAAAAAAAAAAAGAAGAAGAAGAATTAAAGTTAACTAGGCTGAGCATAATCACAACTCTGACCCAACAAGAGCCAGCCCAGCAGTACAGAGTTTAAGCACCGTGCCTTAGAAGCAGATTGCAGTGCGAATCTCAGCCCAAGAGGCCTGAGAAATAAACAAGACCCATGTGCATGTATACCTAAAATCCTAACAGGAGGGAGAAATGGAAGAAATCGGACTGCAATCTGATCATGCCCAGCTGCAGAATGCTCTCTTGCTCTCTCTCTCTCTCACACACACATATATCCCCTAGCAATAAACAAACTGAATACAACACCCACAAAGAAACAATGATATCTCAATACATCTTCACTTTAAAAATGAGGGTCATGGGGAAAAAACACTAATAATCAGTGTTGGTGGAGGCATTTCATTTTCTCATCCATAATTCAGCCTTTGTGAAAGATAAATAAACACTTTCAAAAATGCTGCAATAGCTAGCATGTGACGTGGTGGTTAAGGCGCTGGACCATACGGCCACCTGCAGTTTGAGTCCTGGACCTGGCAGCTTGCTTTCTCACTTTCTCTCTTTCCTTCTCTCTCTCTGTCTCTGGTGAGTACACATGCCCTGTAGCAAATTTTAAAAAATACTAACAATGATGAATAAAGTTAAACAATTTTTTTTAATTAAAAAGAAAAATGCTACATTATTGGGGCCAGCAGGTGACATGATGGATGATTAAAGCACTGGACTCCCACATGGCCAACCACCGTTTGATTCCTGGATCCCACAGCTTGAAAATTACACCAGGCACACGTGCATACATGCCCAAAATCCTGGGAGAAGAAAGGAGGAGAAGGGATTCTGGTGTGGCCATCCCCACTGGGGATGATTTCTCTGGCCCAGCACATGAGCCCTATGGCAAAAAGGTAAAAGAACACACAAAGGTTACACTATCTAAAATGTACAGACTATTTCTTTCTTAGGGAGTTAAGCTAGAAAAAAGTCACAGAGCATAGACATATGTGCAGATTTTCTAGCAGTGCTATTTGTAATAACAAAACTTATGAATACCTAAAAATCTCACTAAAAGAGAATTAGAAAAGAAATTTATAGTGCATCCATGGAAATTTAAGAACTATACAGTTGCTAAAAAAATTAAAGTCAGTCTATTTATGAAAAGGTGCCAAAGACATAGTTACCAAGAAAAAAAAAAGTTGCAAAAAAATATTATGTCCAAAATGCCACTAGTACACAAACCATTCCTGAATGAATTGTTGTTCAAGGTGTAAACAAAATAAATACTCTGAAGGGTAAAAGTAATTAAATGAGAGTGTGGAATAAAACAGTGGGGATGGGATTCATTTACCACATTATGGAGTGACTTATTTAGTGTGGTCTTCCAATCTGCTGTAAGGTGCCTGTGCTCACTGGGAAGACACAGAGAGAGAAAGCGTCCCACATAGGGATGGCCACACCACAACCTCCTTCTCCTTTCTTCTCTTGGGATTTTGGGTACACATGCACACAAGCTCGGCATGTTTCTCGGGCCACCAGATCAGGGACGCGAACCACAGAGGCAACCATACGGGATCCAGCTGCTTCAATGACCATGCCACCACTTGGCCCACAACATTAGACAACCTGCTTGCTGCTTCTATACAAGGACGAGAATATTTTGAGTTTCAAGATAGATTTGATTTCATAGGACTTGAAACCCAAATAAAAACATACCTTCTAAGAGCATTTCTGGAATGTCTGCTTGGTATCTAGGTCCCACTCTGATTTCCCCTTTGTCAGCTAATAGGGTTTTAACTGAGGGGTCATAGACCAATGAGTAGAAAAAGGTATCCTGGAAAAAAAAAAAAAAAAGGACAGAAAATATCTAGGTAAACTTAATTCCTTCTACTTTTTATAAAGCAATAAAATCAACGTCACGATAATGAAGAATAAGACTTCAGAGTATTAAAAAATTTCATTTTGGTGAGTAAAATCATAAATCTTTAAGGAGAGCATGGTGTTATTGTCATCATGTAATATAGTACAAAATTAAATCAAGCCAAAAGAAATAGCTTAAAACAAAGTAGATTATAAAGTTGTATCATTTTAGTTTAAAAGAAAATAATTAACACTCTAAAACAGTTTCTATGAGCTCACAGAGGTACACTACAACTCAAAAGACAGACACCTACAATCAAGTATTAATCTAAACATCTCAGGTCAACCACCAGCAGCAAGGATGACTTCCTGGACAGCAGGTGCTCTTACTGTTAGGGTACCCATGCCACATTTTATTCAGGCTACTAAAAGATACACACATCTCACATAAAATAAACTATACAAGACTTTAACACATATACAGTTAACTAATATCATTGTACAGACATTTAATTATTCATTCATTGTAATTCTGTGGAGCATACGTGTGAATATGTAGATCGGTATATAAACATAACGATACACACCATCACTTCCAGCACACACCAAGCTTTCCAATGGTTCCTTGAACGGCTCAAATGCCCTACTTAGCCTAATGGATAAAATGAGCTGGTCACCATTCTTTTCCTTAATTCTCCATGACAGTTAGAGGCTACCTACAAGCTCCAGCAAAGCCCTGTCTTCTGCTTCCCACTATGAACCCATCAGTCATCTGCTGTACAACTCTGTACTCTATCCTAGAAGGCCTATCCACTCTGTCAACACTTCACCCAGACCCAGCCAAGTAAGTGGCAAAAAAGAGAGATCAATCAGACTCTAAAGCTGTCTCCTTTCTTGTCTCTTACATACCGTGATAAAAGTTAGGAAAACCAAAAACAAAAGGAAGGGTGGCGTAACAAGTAGAGTCATCATGCAATGTACAGAGGAGCTCGATGTGCATGGCCTACTGGGGTTCAAATCCCGGGAACAGTGACAACAATGCAGGTATACGTGCATGCCTAGAATTCTGCTGGGATGGAGAACTGAAGAAAGAAGGACAGTGGCTTGAACAGGCACCGAGGAATGTGCGTGCACTCTCTTACGTCTCTCTGTGTCTCTTGTGTACGCACACATGGACTATCCTACCTCTCTCTGTGTCTCTTGTGTACGCGCACATGGACTATCCTACCTATCTCTGTTGTGCTCACACATGCGCTATTTTGTAAGCAATATTTTTCATTAAAGAAAATAAAAGGGGGCCAACAGATGACATGGAGGTTAAGGCAGCTAGATCCCATATGGCTGGGCTGGCTGAGAGGTTCGAGTCCTAGACCCAGTGGATGCATGGTGCGTGAGGGGCCAAAATTCCAAGGAAGACTAGAGGAGAAGGAACCATATCATGGCCATCCCCTTGGGGGCTGATTTCTAACTTTCCCTCTGTCTGTCTCTCTCCAGCAGGCACACATGCCCTATAGCAAAAATTAAGAAAAAAATTAAAGTAACAAAATGAAACAAAAGGCATTTCTATCTACTGAGAAATTCCACACTGTATTCTAATCATGGGTCACTGTCAGGAGGGAAGATAAAACAGTAAAACTGTTAAAAGTCAAACTAATCCATGATAATATGTGCATAAAAACTGCTATCCATGGAAAAGAAAAATCTATGAGAATCAAATGGTTTAAAAGAGTTACAGGAGACAATTGCTATGGAATTTAGAGTTGTTTTTGGTTTGTTTTGCTTTGTAGACCTGAGCAATAAAGAAAATTACTCAATAACTGAAGCTTTTATCACTGGTTCTCCATTAAATAAAAGCAGAAGCGCTTCAGGTTGTTTGAAATTTACAAAAGCGTTAGCTTAGTATTCTACAAGGCCATGTGCTCGCAGAGGGGGTGGGGGGCAAGAGAGAAAGAAATCAAATCCCAGGTAAAGTGGCCATGCCACAATCCCTTCTCTTCTCAGGATTTAGGACATACGTGTATTTCGAATGTTTCTCAAGTCACTGGATCTGGGACTTGAACCATGCAACCATCTGGGATTCAGTCACTTTAACCACCATGTCACCAGTCAGTCCTGTCTTTTCTTTTTTTTTTTTAAGAGTTTGTTTGTTTGTTAGTTTGGAGAGATTTTGCTGTAGACAAGTGCTGTAGCACTGCCAGAGATAAGAGAGAAAGAGAGAGAGAGAAATCACCCCCCAGGGGGATGGCCATGCTGCAATCCCTTCTCCTTCAGTCTCCTCTTGGGATTTTGGGCATGCACACACACACACCCACCAGTTTGTTTTAAGCTGCCAGGTCTGGGAGTCAAACCACAGTCAACTAGATGGGAGTCCAGCAATGTAACCATTATGTCATCTGCTGATCCAGGCCCTATCTTTTTAATTCTTAGAAACAAACAAAAACAGTAACAAGGTCTTCAAAAAGTTCTTGGAAAATGAGCATTGTTTTAAAAACTATGAATGAACTTCAAAACATTTTCCCAACAAAATAATCTCACACTGTTAATTATATTTTTCCATGAAAATCTTAAACTCCCCTTATATATATGTAATAAAGATTAAAGGGGGAAAAATATGTAAAGTCAGGCCACCTCCATGGCCTAGTGGTTAAGAGAGCCAGATCTGACACAGTTAACTGCACAGTTTGAATCCTGGCCCCAGCAGCTTGAAAAACATACAGCCATATGTGTGTGCATAACTGAAATGCCAAAAGACACAGAGAAGAAGGGATTGGAGCATGACCACAGCCCACTGGAGGTTACATTCCTCTCACTCTCTCTTTGGTGAATGTACAACCCTCTGGTAAACTTGCAAACAAAACAAAACATAAAGAACAAATACAGGGGCTGGCAGGTGGCATAGTGGTTAAGGGTGCCGGATTCCCACATGGCCGACTGTGGTTTGAGTCCCAGGCCCGGCAGCTTGCTTTCTCACTTACTCTCTCTCACTCTGTCTGTCATTAAAGTAAATAAATGAATGGATAAAGTTAAACACAAACAAACAAATAATTTTTTTCTAAAAATAGTAAATACAGAAACATTATTGGCACTAAAGTATTTTCCTCAAATATGCATGATGTTACTTTAAAGTTCATCTGAAACTATGAATAAAATAGAGTACTATGTTTACAAGAATTTCTTCTCATGAATGATGGGCATGTCCCAATTCAAGTTGTTAAATGAATTTTGTTAAGATTTAGTGAATCAATTTTTCCCTCCAGAGGAAATATGTTCTTGCCAGAGACAGACAGAGAAAGAGAGAGAGAAAGGGGGAGAGAGCACCCCTACCCTGAAGTAGTATGGTCATACAGCAATTTCTTTTCCATTTCTCCATCCAGTCACCTGGACTCTGGGTATGCACACACGTGCGCCCAGCATGTTTTTCCAGCCATCAGGGCCAAGTTCTAGACATGCAGTCAGCCACATGAGATCCAACTGCCTTAACCACCAGGTCATGGGCTCACCCAAGAAAAGTCATTTATTTAAAAAACGAAAACAGGAACAAAAATACAAAGATAGGAACCAAATATGCCATTTCATAAAGCCAAAAATATGTATCTGCTATGAATTAAATTATGTACTATACTGTATAAAACTTTTCATTCCCAACTGAAAGAAATATTTATTTTGCTTCACTCCTATTCAACTTAATGACAAAAATCGAATGATCTGAATGCATTCCAGGCATTACATTTCTTTACTATCATATGGCTATAATGGTGCAACAATACTTAGGTTAGAAAAAATGAATTTAGAAAGTCTAGTTTTGTGTGAAATAAAAGGAAAAAACAAAAACGCAAAACAAGTAAGATCGTGACTTACCTCTTTATCAAGATATGACAATACTGATTCTGTTTCATTCAAAAGGGCAACACTGCATTTTCCCCTGTTGAAAGAGACAAAAAAGGTGAGTAACTAAAAGATCACTTCTAAAAAAAAAAAGAAAGACCACTTCTTCTTCAAAGTAACATACACATGGGAACCAGCAGTTAGCGTAATGGCTATGTCGCTGGACTCCCACGTAGTCGACCGCGGTTCGTGTCCCGGACCCAGTGGCTTAAAACTCACGCCGGGCGCGTGTGCGTGCGTGCCCAAGATCCCGAGAGGAGAATGGAGGAGAAGGGATTGCGGCGTGACCATCCCCCCTGGGGGGTGATTTCTCGCTTTCTGTCTCTATGTCTCTCTCTGTCTGTCTGGCGAGTGCACGCGCCCTACAGTGAAAATCTCTCAAAAAAAAAAAAAAAAGTAACATACACAAACATAAGAATATTTAAATTGGGGGCTGGAATTAAACTAGATGGCAGCTGGAAAAAATACATATATATATGTGCATATATATATATACATATATATATATATACATATATATATATGTACACACACATATATATAAAATATATAAATATATATAAAATAGATATATATATATATAATATATTTATATTCAAATTTATGCTATGTAGACCCACTTTACAATCCTAGAATTTGGTAACCTATACAATAACATTGTCTTCATAGGTATTTTATTGAGAGGCTAATCTATGGAAGGAAGGGTGTTCAGTAATTAAGTCCCCATAACATAACACTTTATAGTTATCTTCTAATTATTCAAGAAAAAAATGAGAGACCAGTAGGTGGCATGGTGGTTGAGACCCTGGACTCTCACATGGCTGACCATGGTTCGAGTCCTGGACCTGGCAGCTTTCTCTCTCTCTCTCTCATGAGTGTATGTATCAGATTAAAAAATAATAATGATAAATAAAATTAAATAAATGATTCTTTTTAAAAAAAAAAGAAAAAAAATGAGACCTTAAAAATGAGAGAGAGTTGGGAACCAGCAGTTAGTGTAATGGCTATGTCGCTGGATTCCCACGTAGTCGACCGCGGTTCGTGTCTCGGACCCAATGGCTTAAAACTCACACCGGGTGCGTATTTGTGCGCGCCCAAGATCCCGAGAGGAGAATGGAGGAGAAGGGATTGCGGTGTGACCGTCGCCCCTGGGGGGTGATTTCTCGCTTTCTGTCTCTCTGTCTCTCTCTCTCTCTCTGGTGAGCGCACGCGCCCTATAGCAAAAACCTCGCCAAAAAAAAAAAAAAGAATGAGATAGAGTTTCTAGATCTATAAATAGGTATTCCTAATACATGGAATCTTCAAAGATACCACTGTACAAACGGGTGCCTAAAATTATGTTCAGCTTTAACAAGCTACTGCGTATGAGATCCTAACAATAATACACATTTACATCAGGATGTAATTAACTTACCTTTATTAAAGTTGCTCTGAAGACCACTTTAAACATAAAGAATTTGTATTGAGCAAGGGACAAAATAAAGATTTACAGATTTCACAGACCTGCAGGTCTTATAGCATTGACCATTGTCTTAACATTTACTTTTGTCATCTGGAAATGAGTGTCTATTTTTCAAAAAGGTTTCTGTGTCTACTGAATAACAAAGATCTGGCCCTGAAGAGATGGCACAAGCAGGAGGGGACCACTGCACAATTACTAGGGCCACATGGGAGGCTGAGTTGGCTCTCCCGCATAACCAAGATAGGCTGGGCATGGTGATGCACATCTGTGGCCCTACCTAACTGGAAGGTTAGAACAAGAGGGTCAAAGACACCTATCTATACCTCTCTCTCCCTTACAAGTAAATGTTCTCGCTTTTACTCTCAATCATTTTTGTAAAAGCTGGAATTTGAGAAAAATAAAGACTATCCAAGTGGAGGAGTTTACAAACACTTGCAAAATTATGTTTACCAGCTTAAAAAATTCAGTCTAGCTCCAAGTTTAACAGAAGAAGTTTTGCTAGATTATTGGACTAGAATTTGCTAGTTATGGACATTAGTCAGAGTTCACAACACACCCTAAAAATGCCATTATATCATTTAATTCTCTAAACAAAAGTTATAATACCCCCAAAAACCAATGTGCAAAAATAAATACATTGGATTTGCATTAAACAGAAATGCAGAACAGATTGCTTTCACAGAGTGAAATGTGATTCATTATCAAAAGCAAAATCAAATACCAAAAGTACAGATCTAATTAATTTGAAAAAAGTTAGTTTTCTAAACAATTCATCTTAGGTAAATGTCACAAAGAAAGAGGTCTCTGGAGGTCAGAAGGTGGTGTGGTGGTTAAGGGCACTGGACTCCTATGTGGTCAACAGCAGTTCATGTCCCAGACCTGGTCACTTGCTTTTTCACTTTCACTTTATGTCTCTCTCTGTCTCACTTTGTCCCTCTCTGGTCAAATTAAAATAAATAAAGCTAAATAAAATAATTTTGAAGAAAGAAAGAGACATCTCTCTGAAAGCATGTAGTATTTATATTTTTGTATTTTCTTTTTTTCTTGGAGAGGTTTCTTTGCTACAGGGCACGTGCGCTCACCAGAAAGAGAGGCAGAGAGAAAGAAAGTGAGAAATCAACCTCCGGGGTGGGTGGGGGGGGGAGATGGCCACGCCACAATCCCTTCTCCTCCATGCTCCTCTTGGGATCTTGGGCATGCACGCACATGCGCCCGGTGTGAGTTTAAGCCACCG